TTTTGTTCGCAACTATTACCACCTTATAGAGGACATCTTGCATAAGCAGCTTGTTTAACAGTGAGTGTCAAAAGGGCAGATCCAAAGAACACACCCAGGACTTTATTATGGAGTGTTTTCCAAGAGAAACTGGAAAATTCCACAGTACAGCATTAAACATGGCTATCTCCACGGAGATAAGTATCTGACTGTACCAAGTTGAATTACAGGTCAGATCTGTAAAGAGGCGAAACAGCTCAATTGTTTTCGCAATAACACCTGCACTTGAAGAAATGCACAATAAATTTAAGTTTTAGTTTAATGCTATATTATGGAACTTTTTTTATCTGAACCTTCAAGGGTCCAGCTTTACAGAGAACCAGTGGCATCTCCATGGTGACAAGCAGATGGCATACCCCTCCACCCAGAAAAGTTACACAGTGTACTTTTAAAATACTGTTCCTATATTGACCTTCAAAAAGTCTTGCCATTGTGAAAAAAAAAAAAAATCTATCAAATTTTTTCACAATTAAGAGCCGGCAATCTTAAATCGGATGTGACATTTGCATTTTTAATTAGCTACATCTACGTTATGTCTTCCTATGCCATATGGAGTCTTATTTAGATACCCTGACAGATTGCTTGTTAAATGAATGTCTGTATTTGTAATAGCGGCAAACATTTTCAAAAAGCATATCTCGATATAATCTCTTTACTTCCATAGAAACATGTCTAATGGCCCCAGTCTTACATGCAGCACTGCCTTTATTAAAATATTCATTTCTGGCCTCCTGCAGGCTGTATTGAAGTATTTCTTAAGCTGAAAAGGAATGATTCATTACTTGGGGCACTGGCCTTTGTTCTGGCTTTTCGCCTCGCTGTGTCTCAAAGCATGTTATCCAGCCTACATCAGATTAGGTACAAGTGATTAGATTGGTGGCGTTAATTAGGCCAAAAGTAGAGATTAGCTGACGTAGGATGGTGTTAGAAAGGTTAAGTATTGCTGAGAAGGCCTTTTGAAAGTGCCTAATATAATGAATAGCGTCTGTGTTCATTGCTCTGGCTTTTTCCCAGTAATAGGGGCAGCCATGTCGTTCACCAAGGACAGAAAAGGTCCTATATTAAGGGACTCTTGTGAGCTTTAAGCCATGTTATAATGCTGTTACCTCATCAGAAACATACCTCAAGTTGTGTTTTGTTTTTTTCTTTCTCATTAGTCTGTCTACTTCTCCCAAGCTGTGTTCTGTGCTCTGTTCCACCTGTTGTTGTCATGAAGAGGTATTTTTCAAGTTAACAGCTACCGTTTACCTTTTATTCAGTAGAGATTGGAATTTCCAGGCCAAATGTTTCTGTTGTAGGTGTATGAAGTTTCAAAATGCAGTGTATTACCACATGACATCACAAGGTGGAACAGTTTTCGGTTGATCTGAGATCAAAACTAAACCTAAATATGAAGGATTTGTGATTGTGTGAATGAAATAAAACACAACTCTGAGTATGTCTGTGATGAGGAAACAACATTATAACATAGATCAGAAAATAGCATGATTTAAAATGTGTTATCTTTAAAGATGCAGTATATAACTTTTCTGGGGAATGGTCGGCCATCTACTTGTCTCCAAGATGTTATTGCTTTGGCTGAAATGTCCCAGAGTATTACATTAAACTTCTATATCTTGTACTTACAGGTACAGGTGTTTTTGTTGCTAAAAATGTCAGAAATAATTTTCTAAATCATTCTAACTCTGAGCTGGGTCGCATCTCCACAGATCTGACCGGTGTACCTCACCTGTTTGTAGGTCCGGGTATCACTGAGAAGCTGCTGATATGATACATATACATACCCTGATACGATTTTTCGATACGCTGCACTTTTGATTCAATACGATTCGATATGATATATTTCAAATTGATTCGATACGGTTCAGTAAAAAACAAAGCCTAAATCATGGAGTGTAGTTAATGAAGTTAATATGAAAAATACCCATTTTACTCAAAACAGTGAGTATGTCTAATGTGCTGCATAAACAATTTTCCTTTCTCCAAACACGCAACACAATTATTGCTCTTTCACAAAATAATTTTGTAAAATATACCAAAAAAAATACAAAAAACACCCTTGACAATATATTAATACAACAGCCCACAATATCAATACAGTATCATGAAATTAAATGATACGATATATCGATATTTCAATATTTTTGCACACCCCTACCTGTTTGTCTCCATACTAATACTGTACTGTGGAACATTCCAGGCAAAGACATCTCCATGGAGACACGTGTGATATCAGAAAAGTTACTTAGTGCATATTTAAACTGCATACTATTTTGAGTTTTTTCAGTTGCTTGATCGATTGGTTGCAGTAGTACCCAAGAGGGAAGACTATTTCCTCTATAGTTTCTACCATCACTGATTCACATAAAAGCATTCTCTTTCTCCTCCATTAACCTGCCATGTGTTTTGCTTTGCCCCAGCTCTATCGCAGCAGCAAAAGCATCCGCCTCCTCAGCCTATCCACGTTGTCCTCCTCTTCACCAAACACACTCTAGTCCAGGGGTCTCCAACCTGTAGCTTGGAAGCTACTGGTAGCTGCCAAGGGATTTCTGAATTACATGGATAAGTTAAATCTGATTAATTAAATGCCTTTTACCATTGTACATGTATCATTTTTATTTCTAACTTTGTACTCTAATAAATGGATAATGGTTTATGTTTTATAGGCGTCTAATTGTACCTCATCTAAGGCTCACCATGGCTCTTACACAATATATGCTCAATTTCTTATGACTAGTCAATCCGTGTATCATTGGTTCATTCATTTTTCCAAATAAAACCAACAAATAAGAAAACGAAAAAAACAATTAACAACAACTATTTACTTCATTATTTGTCTACAAAACCAAAATGAAAAAAACGGATTATGATTAGTTTTTTCAGTTTTCGATTTTGTGTTTAAATGAATAATGGAAAAAATGGATAACGGTCGTTCTCTGGCACTTTTGAAAAAAGATTGGAGACCCCTATTCTGGTCCTATTAAAAATATTTTCTTTAAAGTTACATTGTGTAACTTTTCTGGTGGAATCCGTCATATTCTTTTCTGTTATTGCTTTGTCTGGAATGTTTCACAGTACGGTATTAAACTTTTCTATCTTCATGGAGACCAAACCAGACCAAGTTACAGGTCAGGTAGAAATAAGCAGGTGACGCACCCCCAACCAAAAAGTTACCTCTTTAACACCTCTTTCCCATACTCACTCTACAATATTTTAGTTTTGATTTTTATTTTACCTAATAGTATATCATGCAGTCCAAAGTCAACAGTTTGAGCAAAGTCTTGGCGAAGAGTTGCTCCTCCAGAAAATCTGAAATAGATCATCCTGTGACAGAAACCACTGGGTGTTTGGGCCCAACTAACGAGCAACAGTGCGGCCAATTTCTACCTGGCAGGATGCACTGTTTTGCTGGGGCACTGGCTCAGATATTCGGCCTCATTTGGGGAGCCAGCAGACGACAATAGAGGGAGCAGAGTGTAGAGAAGATGGCGAGTGGCTGGTGATGGATCCTGGAGCATGGCGAGGCGTTCAGGGGCAGATGGGACTTCACAGCACTCAACACAGGTGTCCCTTTCATCCGTCATGCTCGGAACCAGGAACAAAAGACAACAAAGGGTGAAGAGTAGAGCTGTGAAATGTTCCAAATGATCCTAAAACTACAATATTGTTGAGCCATGATCTGTTAACAAGAAAATACTGCTAACTAAACACTTGGACAATAAGCACTATGTAACTTTTCTACTACTGTTTGCCTGGTAAATCCAAAATGATGTCTATGTTTTTTATGTCAGTGTGGTCCCCTCGCTCTCCGCTGCATCTGAATTCTGGTCAAATGTTCAACATCCAATCAGATTAGTTTTTTTCAGTGACGCGTGTGAAACGAAGGAGCTTATTGGTCATTTCACCTCATTGATTCTGCAGGAATACACAGTGTTTTTCAGCCCATTGTTTTTCTTTATTTTTCCAATGCGGGGAGACCATGCGTGTCCCTGATTGGTTAATACACTTGTCAGTCACAGACATTTGAAAACGGAGGAGACTCACCGGTGACCAGACTCACATCTTCGTAAAGCAGGCGTGTCAAATTCAAATTCACAGAGGGTCAAAATTAAAAACTGGGACTAAGCCGTGGGCTAGACTAGATATTTATTGTAGAATTTCAACAACATCTGCATGTTTTCTCTTCTTTCAAGATATGTAATGTTAAAGCTTTTCTTATTAAATAGATAAATAGTTTTGCTTAACATTGAATTCAGAACAAGCAGAATATAAAATAAAAACAAAATTTTAAATAATGTCTCTATAGCCTATGTGTAACCAGCAGGCCAGATCTAATACATAGTTGATATGATCTCGAGGGCCAAATATAATTATGTCGTGGGCCAAATTTGTCCCCCGGGCCTGATTTTGACATGTCTGTTATAAAGAAGTGAAGGAGTGTGTGGTCCTAACTTTTCATCATTCTGAAACCCATGGATCGGCAATCATAGTAACACAGTGCACCTCCAAGTAACTGACAGTACTGTGACCCGTCTATAATTATTGTATGTTAATTGTCTCACAGGCTGAAGTCAAAGCTATAATATTTTTACACTTACCAATACACCAAAACAATATTTTACTTTTTAAATCGCTGGAGGAGGTTTTTCGATGTGAGAAAGCCCTTTATGTGGCAGTTATATGAATAAAAGTCCAAAAGTGCTTACCTCTGTGCCTGAGAAGTTTAAGCACCCTCCACTGAGATCTTGTGACTCCAGTTCTTGGCCCGTCCAATTACAACACCACTGCCACTACCTGCTCTCTGCACATTTTAAAGTGTGTTTGTCCCGATAAGGCCCAAAGTTGTAAACATTAGTTACAGATATAGCCCTGTAATATTGAGGTTGCAGTATTTCCACTCTTGACAGCAGAAATTGCCTTGTTATTGTGAGTTTGTGAGTGACTGTGGTGCTTGGTTGCAGCTGACCTACCTGCCGCCGCCCTGGGGAGAGTGTGAATGGAGAGCTCTGGAGTCGGGCTTCTTCCAGGTGTACAGTGTGACGGCCTGCAGGATCGACTGTGAGACGCGCTACATCGTTGAGAACTGCAACTGCAGAATGGTGCACATGCCCGGTGAGTCTATGCTCTGTACACACAAACTAAACAAGAATATATCAGGGTAAACTAGGGTTAAACCAGGGCAAGAAAGTACACATTTGTTTTCCTTAGACTTAGACTTAAACAAACTTTTTTGATCCTCAAGGAAAATTATTTGGACACTGTTTTACATGTTTTTATATTGTGTTGATTTTAATGTGAAGCACTTTGGTCACTTTGAGTTTTGTAAAGGGCTCTAGAAATAAAGACTGATTGACTGAAATATACCATAATTTCCAGACAATAAGCCGCTAATTTTTTCTCACACTTTGTACTCTGCGGCTTATAAAACAATGCGGCGAATATATGGACGGATTCTTTGTTTGGCACATCGTCCATTCATGTTCTATCTGTGTGATTAACACATGGATCTTAAGTTAAAATGAAGATACTACACTAGCTAGCGATATTGTCAGCACACTCAAATAGTTTATCTCCGTGTGATGAAATAAATTATGATGCTAAATTAACATTAGGGTATACGTCTTATCTGTATGCGTAAATGACGATAAGAAACATCTCAAACTTCAGTAACCGGACATCCACTCATACCTGATTGATAGAACTATCTCTGCTCCTGGGAGAGGCTGAAATTTGCTGAAATCCTATAAGACACTGACATGATACAAGACAGAACAGCAGCTCTTTCTGCAGGAGACATGTGCAGTAGAAGAAGAAGAAATGCAGATGACGCATCTTTTAAATTAACGGCAATTGATGTGTCTGTCGAAGAAGGAAATCGAGCTGCTGCACATGAGCTCATCAGTGAGTCAATGTTGAGATTTTGGCGACAGCAGCGTGACAAAGTGACTCAAAACGACAAAAATTTTCAGAGGCAATAAAAGTAGATGGCCCAAACTTGAAAACGTTCTTGAAAATGTGGAAACCTGCAGCTTATATTCAGCTGAGGCCTATATATGTACAACTTTAAAATGTTGTTCAAATTTAGTTGATGCGCTCAATAGTCTGGAAAATACGGTAATAACAAAGAGCAAAACTATAAATGGCAATAACACATTCAAAATAAGTAGCAAAAAATGTGTATATGTACAAGAAAAATAAAAATATAGAGCTGTAGTTTTATATTTTGGCTATATACAAGAGGTAATGAGAAATAGTGCAAAGATTAACTGATTTAAAAATTACGGTACCAATAAGGTATTTCAAAAATGTACCATAATTCAGAAAACTGCAGAATCGCTTTTTTTACACAATGATCAATACTTTTCAAGACCTCAGTCCGTTTTAATGTATTTGTTTTTGGTATCTATCCACCCATCTTTTTTGTTTACATTTTTATTTATTTGTCAAGGAAAATCCATTTTGATCAGGGCAGTCTTTTTTTAGCCTGCTTCAACCAAGACAGGTTATGAATTAAAATCTATGGACACAAAATGAATTTAAGATCTATTCAAACTTAAGTGAAACCCAAATGTGAGTTGCAAGCTGCAGCCTGGAGCTCCTCTCATAAATACTCCAAACTCAGAGGTGTACATTCGTTAGCTGGTGTTTTCATCGAGGTTGCAAGGCTTTATGGGAGATTAAATGCTCTAGCGAGACCTCATATTGATATGACCAATCAATAGTGGATTAAGTGTTGTGATCTGAAAAGCCCCAGGATTACAGTTCTGGCAGTAAAGGCAGGAGGGCCACAGAAGTATCTTGGTTGCAGTTTTCATTTCCAGTATTTATACATTATTGATATGATTTTATATAGTTACAGGAGGGGTATTGTGCTAAATTAACATTTTTGAGCCTGTTATAAAGTTGTTCCCTTATCAAAAATATGCCTGAAGTTTCAGTTTCAGTGATCTTGCGGTCTCTCATATTTCAATTCTCTTTACAGTAAAAAGAGGGTTCAAGAGGGTTTACAGTGAAAGGAAATCAATTTTTTTTAACATGCCGTTTTTGATGAATATAGCATTTTCAAACTAACAAAAGGCAACATGGTGATGTAAATATTTTATGTCTTCATACCCCATAGACATAAATACCTCACTGTGCATATGACGTATTCATGTTTTCTAATTAGTACAGTACTTGGTTTGGTCGGATAGTACATGTGGTAAATACTTCTCATAGTTCTACATCAGTGACAATAGAAAATACAGGTAACATGGGTCTTAAAACTGAATCCTTCTACCTATGACATCAACACTGAACATTCCAGTCTAATTCTAACTATAATGCAACTTAGACCATTTTGGCCATTGTTAACATTATGGTTTCTAGGTAACAAGTTACCTCCATAGCAAACCACTTTAAACCGTGTTTTTCCATTCCCATTCATTCAGTAAAAAGGAAAAAAAAAAAAAAAAAAAAAAAAAAAAAAAAGCTAGACTTCTGACAAGACAAAGTGAATTTACAAAAAAAAAAAATTTGCTCTTCTGATTTTTTTTCTGTTTAAATTTGTTTTCATTATTATTATTATTATTATTATTATTATTATTATATTATTATTTTTTTTTTTTTTTTTTATTTTATTTATTTATTTATTTTTTTTGCATGTTGTTTAGGAACAGTTTAGGATTTTGGTTAGGTTTGCTAATTTTAGCAAAAACTGAGCTGTATTTTTTTTAGACAAAAGAACATTTTGAATAAAGTTATTAGTTAAGTGTATTTAACAAAAATACTGTCTCGCTGAACCTTAATATTTCCTGTAATTACTTCTGTTGATTATAAAATTAACTCACTCTCAAGGAAAAGACAGCAGCAGGTAGATAGCTTTGATTGACATGGAACGCTAAGCCCTGGACGCGGAGAACTTGAGTCAAAGAGTCATGTTTTCCATGTCCAACCAGAAAATAAAATAATGAACTTCACCAAAATTGGGATGAGAGTACATTTTTGATACTGGTTGGTCACCCAGGTATAGATTTACTGACAGCACTAATACGTGTACACAAACGCACGTGTCTGTCTGTACTCATTTACTTATAACCTTTGACAGTTTTGTGTTTGTTTTGTTTTTGTCACTGTGTGGTGTGCTTAAACTGTGTATCTCTGATGTGTGTGCAGGTGATGCTTCATACTGCACACCGGAGCAGTACAAGGACTGTGCAGAACCAGCTCTGGGTAAGTCCTCCCTCTCTCTCGTGTTTTTCAGTCATGGTTCACTGTCGCCCAAATAAGGATTATGTTTCCTGTCTGGATAAAGCTTATAGAGTTAAACCTGCCTTAAAAAGAGGAATACGGGTGCAGACACATGTGTAATCTCAGACAGGATTTACTTAAAAAAGAGAAAACACTGATTGCTAGTATTTGCATGTGGAAAAGTACACGTATAAGAAGGTTGTGGGTTTGATCCTCAGGAGAGAGTTAAGCCTACAGGTCTTTTAACATGTTACAGTGGATTTCCATTGTGCCCAATCACATGCTATTAACAATAAAAAACATTATATTGTAATTGGTTATATAGGTCACCATACTTAAAAGTCCTACAGTATATGATACAAAATTGACTCTTGTGAACTTTAAGTCATGTTAGAATGTTGTTAGCTCCTCAAAAACATACCTGGAGTTGTGTTTTGTTTCATTTGAGTAAAAGTTTATTACTAGTCTGTAGGGATGTAACAATAATCGAAATATCGTGATACAGTATTGTCAAAAGTCTCACAATAATATCGAAAGCTGTCACAGTATATCAAATTATAAGTTCCTTTGCTTAAATGCATTGTTCTTTAGTAGGAACAGCTAATAAACATCAGGAACTTCATATCCCATGATTCATTTCAGCACAGACAACATGAAGAAATATGGTTTTACTTTAATTCTTGAGATTCTGACAGTAATAATTCACACCAAAATCTTGTCAAGGTATTTTAAAAGCACAAAAGTGTCCTATCTACAAATTACATATTTGCCACTCCAAAATATTGCAATAAATATCGTACCTTGAGAAGCATATTGTGATAATATCGTACCGAGAGTTTTGGATATCCCTGTTAGTCTGTCTACATCTCCAGTCTCAAAATGCTTTAGTTCAATAGAGTTCGGCAGCTCCAGGGCCAAAATTGTCCAAATAATTCTAGTGAAGGTGTATGGAGAACAGAGTGAAGCACCTTTACTACCACATGACATCACAAGGTGGACCGGTGTGTTCTGTTAGAGAAGAACTCTAAATATGCAGGGTTTGTGTGTTAAATGTGAGTGAGTCCATGTATGTTTTTGATGAAGAAACAACATTATAACATAAATCAGAAAATAGCCTAATATCAGTGTATCAAATGTATCTTTCTTTGCACTAGTGGGGAACTTTTAATCATTTTTGTTGCACTTTTTGTTGCTCTATTAACTAGACTCAAATAAGACAAGGACTCATAAGGGTAAAGCTCTATTTATTGCAGGCGGCTCATATTTTATAATACAGTTCGTTTAGAATAGGCTTGGAGTGTTCAATATTATTGTTTATCTTTCCTCTCTTGTCCTTCAAAATGTGTTTTTCCGACAGGCCTAGTTGCAAGTTACTTCAAGTGGCTACTCCAGGTGCCCGAGAAATTACACTTTCTATTCTGGCACCATCTCGAATACAAGGACTTTAAAAATGGTTTTGCCAGTACAAGGCCAAAGCCACAGTGACAGCAAACCAACAGCCATTGTAACTCAGATTTCTCTTTCATCTAATTTACTGAGCACCAGGCTCATTGAGATTTTTACATCCTTCATAAAACTGCGTACTACAAGACACTTTTACTTCAAATTGGCTATACTGTTAACTTTGACACAGTTTTAAACATCTGTGGTTTAATAGTAGATCTAGAATTAGTTATTTATATCTTTTTATTTTTACTGCTTTTTACATTTTAGATACACACAGAAGACATCAAATATATGAAGCGAGATATATGGAATTATGCAGTAAAGAAGAAAAAAGTTACTACTAAATTAAGTTAATAGGAACCTTTTACCTTTAATTCAGTAAAATTGGTCAGTTCCAGGGCCAAACTTGTTCAAATGATTCTAGTAAATCATCAATCATCAAGCTAAAAAAGTGCATGGAGTTTAAAAACACAGTGGAGCACTTCCTGTATTATCACAAGGTGGAACAGAGTGTGTTCTGTTTGAGAGAAGAATTCAGCCTAAATATGCAGAAGACAACAAATATATGAAGCAAGATATATGGAATTATTTAATACAGAAAAAAGTTAGTACTAAATAAATATTATCAGCAAAGCAAAGGGTGACTGCTTTGACAATTTGAATATAAACTATAACTATAAAAAATATTTAGTGTATTATTTAACTTTGTGTCTTTGCTAAATAATTCTGTTTATCTTTCTTCATATACTTGAAGTGTTCTGTTTGTCTTCATCTTATTCCAGAAATTGCCATGTGCGCCGCCATCATCCTTCAGGTTGTATTATTTTGTATGGAGCAGTTAAAGGGACAGTTCGGAATTTTGGACATAGGGCCTCATTTCCTAGTGATCCAGAGTGTTGGAGATGTGTGGAGACACTTTTTTTAAAAAATATTTCATCCAGTCCATGTATTTGTGGAGGCTGCTGAAGCTAGGCTAGTGCATGTCAATGGCTATAGTTAGCCTGCCACTAAAAACAGTCTTCCCCACTTCACAAAACACCTGAAGCAAAACTATTATTAAGCCAGAATACTGATGTGAATGTCTGTGTGGATATAATAATTTTAGAGGTAAAAATAACCTTGCATTTGAAGGATTTATATCTGAGCAGCAGCAGCAAGTTGTACTTCCTGATAGAAAGCTTGGCAGCGGCGGACTGATATGAGAAAGTAATCTCTCAACATGTAATGATTCATGCGATTCATGTTAGATTTATTTCAGACATTATTCTATCAACACAGACATTCACATCGACAGTCTGGCATAATAATTGTATTGCTTCGGGTGTTTTGTGGAGTGGGTAAGACTGTTTTTAGTGGCAGGCTAACTAAGGCCATTGACATGTGTAGCCCATCTATGTAATATATTTTGATGAAATGTTAAATTATGTAGTATTTATCAATTACAGTATATGCACTGTTAATTTATTAAATTTGAATGTAATTAATACACTGTAGCATCGAGAGCAGCCAGGAAATGCGTGGTGCCGATAGTTGGGGGTCCAGCTATAAAAGTAGGTCAGACACGCCCATCCAGTTGTTGTGAGTGTGGCCTGCGCTCAGGTGTTGTGGCCCTGCGTGCCTCGCATGTATTGAACCGCTTGGATAAAATAAACGTTGCAAAACGGAACTATTTGCCTGGATTATTTAAGGGTGCAACACATGCACTAGCCTAGCACCAGCGACCTCTGCAAATACAAGGACTGGATGGAATATTTTAAAAAGTGTCTCCACACGTCTTCAACACTCTGGCTCACTAGGAAATGAGGCCCTATGTCCAAAATTCCAAATTGTCCTTTTAAATATGGACTATAAAGCCGTTTTAAGCCTCCCAGAGAGTACACTGAGCATTTTACACAAATGAACCGACTTTATGTCATATTTAAGATGCAAAACGTTTCCCAAATTCTCCATTTAACCAGAACAATGAATGAGGTGTGTCCAAATTTTTGACTGGAGTGGAGTGTACATATTCATTTATATATACTGATTTCTTTTTCCTACTCAACAAAAGCAGCATGGATATTACATGAGTGGTCATATTTATTGTTTAGTTCTCTGTAGCTTTGTATCCACCATCCTCTGCTTAATTTAAAGAGGATATTTGAAAAGCTGATTTGATAATCCCAATAATCCTTCAATCTTTCTTCTATCTATGTCCTTATAATGGGGTTAGAACACGTCTGTCTGAAGAGTGCAAAATCATGTGTCGAGATGATTTATTAAAAGCACAGGGGCCATCTTAATATTTCCTGGTTGTGTGCCAAGACCTCATCAAGTATGTAACGGGCACAGACACATGCGTTAGAGTTCAATTTACTGGATGGATGGGCAGACAGATCGTAGGGCTGTACTCTGAACTCGAGTGAATTAAACACCATGTCGCTGGATTCAGGGAGATTCAAATCACAGTTCGTATAGTGTTAGAGTATTTTTTGTCACCTTAAGTTTGCAATATTGATTCTAGTGTTTGGATTTCTTAGTGGACTTTACAGACTCTCCCCTGCAGTAAAATGGTGTTTGTCTCCATGGAAACAAATAAGTTATACAAACATAAATTATTGGTCTGTCTACTCTTGAAAAACTGAAAACATCAAAAGCATGCTTGTCAAAAAAGACTTGAATTTTCCATAAATTATCACCAGACTCGTTATAAGCATTTCTGCCATCAAATTGTGTTTGTTTCAACTAAGTGCTCATATTAGCATGTCGAGCATGTTGCTAAAATGCTAGATTTAGATTTTGTTCTCTGGTAATTCTTGGCAGTTAGAAAGTGGAATGAAATGTGTGGTTCTATGGCCATTATTTTAAGTTCTATGATTTTATGACATGAAATGACAGTGGCAAAGATATTCAAGAAAAGCCTGTTTAAAGACCTGTTACAAACAATGCCTACAATGCATGCAAACATGTGTGCCCATTAACTTAGGCGGTATCCACACTAGTAAGTAATCGAATCGTTTTTGTTGTGGATGCAGTGTTCGTCCTCACTAATCCAATGGAAAATGTCTCCTGAGACAGAACAATCTGGTGCCGCCAGCTCCCACGAATTCATCTGAGTAAGGATCTGATAAGGCATTGTGTGGACGCCTGAAAATGCTGATATGCTGATGTAGGTCTATGTACTGCAAGGTAGCTAATTCTCCACCAAAACGCTATGAGAGTAGAATATATGTGGCCATACCATCTTGTCAAAGCCTGATCCCGTCAGATCTCAGAAGCTCAGCAGGCCGGGCCTGGGTAGTACTTGGTTGGGAGACCACAAGGAATTCCAGGTGCCACAGTCGGGCGCCAGTGGCAAAAAACTGCTGTTGTGTCCTTAGGCAAGACACTTCACCCACATTGCCTAGTATGAAAGTGGTGTAAGCGTGAGTGATGGTGGTGGTCGGAGGGGCCGATGGCGCAGATTGGCAGCCTCGCTTCCGTCAGTCTGCCCCATGGCAGCTGTGGCTACAGTGGTAGCTTACCACCACTGAGTGTGGAGTGACTGAATAATGAAC